ACTACTCCTGTCTTCGGCAAGGATGTCGTGTACGATTGCCCCAATGCCAAACTCATGGAGCAGAAGAAGGTTAGAAACGACAATCAGATCCTTGCGTAGCAAACATGCTGATAGAAATGCCTTTAGTTCATGAAAATCGCCCTCACGACCGAAGCCTTCCGATCATATGTGCCTATTATCTCCGCCGAGGTTCGCGATTACTTCAAGAAGAGCCCCGATTTCAAGGGCAAGTCCGGTATTGTCGACATTCCCAAGAAAATGGCCGAGATCACTATCTTCACTGCCTCGCATGCCCTCCAGGGCAGCGTCATTCGTAACAAGTTTGACGAGTCTCTGGCCGCTCTCTACCACGATCTCGACATGGGTTTCACTCCCATTAACTTCATGCTTCACTGGGCTCCTCTCCCCTGGAACCGCAAGCGCGACCACGCCCAGCGCACTGTTGCCAAGATCTATATGGACACCATTAAGGAGCGACGCGCCAAGGACAACGATGACACCGAGCACGATATGATGAAGCATCTCATGAACTCTACTTACAAGAACGGCACCCCTGTCCCTGATCATGAGGTCGCCCACATGATGATTGCTCTCCTCATGGCTGGCCAGCACTCTTCTTCTTCCACCAGCTCTTGGATCATGCTCCGCCTCGCTCAGTACCCTCACATCATGGAGGAGCTGTACCAAGAGCAGGTCAGAGAACTCGGTGCTGATTTGCCTCCCCTGACTTACGACGACCTTGCCAAGCTGCCCCTCAACCAGGCCATCATCAAGGAGACTCTCCGCCTTCACGCTCCTATTCACTCTATCATGCGTGCCGTCAAGTCTCCCATGCCTGTCCCTGGAACCAAGTACACCATCCCGACCTCGCACACTCTTCTCGCCGCTCCTGGTGTCAGTGCTACTGACTCGGCCTACTTCCCCAACCCCGATGAGTGGGATCCTCACCGATGGGAGGCCGACTCTCCCAACTTCCCCAGAATGGCTTCTCGTGGCGATGACGAAGAAAAGATCGACTATGGCTACGGTCTTGTCAGCAAGGGTTCCGCCTCTCCTTATCTGCCCTTTGGTGCTGGTCGTCACCGATGCATTGGCGAGCACTTTGCCAACGCCCAGCTCCAGACAATTGTTGCTGAGGTTGTGCGTGAGTTCAAGTTCCGCAATGTGGATGGCGGCAACACTCTAATCGACACCGACTACGCCTCTCTTTTCTCGCGACCCTTGGAGCCCGCCAACATTCACTGGGAAAGACGCCAGCAGTAGATTTGGCCCGAAAGAATGATGAGACAACATGAAACAGGTTGTATATATGCGGCAAACGCAATGGGCATGTTCGGGAGTTGAGTGTTTTGTAATGGCCGGGCTGGTTTTTCCAAAAAGAGGTCAATTGTCATGCCATGCCAACAAGGATCTGGCGATAGAATCTATAAATTTTTAATAAGCAACGATTAAATTATGAATCAACACAAATTCCTGCATCCTTTCCCCTGACTGTAGTGATCTGATAGATGGGTGATCAGTGAGCCGATCTCATGGGGGCATACCAAGTCGGAAGTTGGCATTTGGACCCCACCAAGCTGAGCGCCATCCATGACGACTGTGCTGCATTCATACCTGTCTGTGTCCGAGAGATAGCTTTGTTATTCTGTGAGGAGACCGACGGCGCGTCTTTCACCAGCATTACCATCAGCTCTGTTTCTGCTCTTTGTTTGTTTTTTATGACGAAGATTCGACCTGTTCACTTAGGAAGTAACTGTTTATCAATACCACTTACATTGGTACCCTTGACCAAAGCCAGGGACCAGCACCTCATCCAGACATCATGAACGAGTCATATGGCCCTCTTGTCCGCCTATGGGGCATACGCCCTTCTAAACTTCCAGGTGCAGAGGCACAACCAGAAGAGCTCAAGGTTCTTCTCTCCTCAATTATTCTCGAAGCCTTGCCTTTTCTGAACTCCGTCCCTTCCGAGATCCCTTCCGTGGAGCCTGCTACTGAACTCCAGTCCACAAGTGATCTCTGGAAACACAAGACAGTCAAAACATATGACGGATCTGCCGCTTCTGTTCATGTATTCGAGCGTACTGTTGATGCTGAGACTCTTGGGGTTGTCGCTCAGAAAAACCCCGGGCTTGGGATACCACCCGATAAAGCGCAGTCAGAGCTTTGGGCGCTTCGACGGAGTACTCACGAAGCGAAGAAAGAGAAGGGCACGGCAGATTGGGATGAGTTTCTGAGATGTTTCAAGGAAAAGCATGGTGAGGCTGAGGAGACCTTTACGCCAAGCGTGGTGAACTTTAAGCGACTACAGGAATGGGATTGCTCAGGCATTGAGATTCAGCTGAACGGCGAAACTTGGATCGATTGGACACTGCGTCATGAAGAGTCTGTCCATGACCTTCCTGGGCCGTTGTCAAAGCGTGTCTTTCCTGTTCTACAAGCCACAGCTGCTGTTCGTGGACGCAAGGAGTTCCTTGTCGTTCAAATCGCCATCCGGGCCGGTGACGATGCGACAGATGTGGCTAAGCACGGTGGCCCAATTCGGGCAGCTTACACAAGTGTTGAGAGGGTAAGAGAATTAGGTGATAGAAGCTTGGAATGGGTGATGGGTACAGCATCTGATGCGAAAGGCTTGGTGCCTATGTGGGCACAGAAGCTGGGTCTTTCTGGGGCGATAGCTAAGGATGTCGGTATGTTTATGGACTGGATTGGTAGGGAGAGATTGAAGGGGAAAGATGCTGAAGTTGTTGGTGACCTTGAGTAACGAAAAACATATGCGAAGGCGCTTGGGTAATACAGATGTTGGTCCTGCACGCGTGAGTGCATTCACTATTCTAGCAAGAAATGAGGTACTCTTTGTACGGGATTTGCATACGCTCAAATTGCAAATTCTTTGAGTCCGGGTTGGATATATGCAATTGTCTCGCTGGGGCTACAGGGTCCCATTTACCAGAAGCACACCTCACCATTATAGAGTGCGATGCTAAGTCAATCCTATTACCTGCCTTACCTATCAGATGAAGTGGAAGATGGTTAGATTTTGAGCTATACCTTAGGTATAGGCACCTTAGGGTGAATCCCTAATACGCTTACCTTGGTACCTTATGTACCTAAGGTCAGGTAGGTACGCGTTGTTCGTGAATCAGAGGCTTCTCTTGCCTCCCGTTCCTTTCTCTAACCTCCTCCAAAGCTCGCCCCTTCCTTCCTTCACTCTTCGATAACAAATCTGGAGCCCTTTCACTTAGAAGAGCACACTCAGTGGGAAGGTGCCTCAGTACCTACCTACCTTAGGGAAAAAACCAAACAACCTTAGTACCTTAATAATTAAGATCTCATGTAGGCGTCACGTCTCCTGCCCTCTTTTCCCTTCTATCACCACCGGGTCATTCATATTCTGATGAGAATCCTTCATCGATACCTGCCTCTCTTCTCTTCTCCTCTCCTCTCAAAAAACAGGGGGGAAAAACCAAGTTTGCTTTCAACATGAGCCAGAACCGCCACAGATCAGCTCCTAAGGGAACCGGTGCACCTCTGTCGCCCCCTTCAAGTCAATCTTCGTCCAACTTTGCTCCAGCACTCACTGCATCGAAACCATGCACTGATGTGGCATATTCGTCCACTCAAACAACCCCAAACAGTCCAAAAGGTGAAGAAAACCAGCTTCTCAAACAAGCAGAGGCGCTCGCGAATATGCATTTCGAGCTCGACCTCCGTACTGTCTTCTCACTTGCCAGTAGACTTGAAAAAGAAGTCCAGCAGCTTGTTTTCCGCACCGCCGATGACCAAGAATTTAGACGCCAAAATGAAGAAAGAATGACGAAGATGATGCTTGAGATACAAACAGTCAAGGCTTATATGGCTCGCATTGGGCATAACCGTGAGCCTGCAACACGAGCGGATATCGAGAAGCTACAGCAAGCTATGAGTGATATCACAATGGAGTGGAATAACCAACTGGAGGACGCAAGGACAAAAATAGATGAGATATCAGGTCGAATGATTAACGCCTCGCGACAAGCAGGTGTTAGGGGCAATGAGCCCCCGACACGCCCATCTCTGCTTGGAATAGAAACACGAGCAATGCGAAAGGCAAAAACGGATATCGCCTCAAGTCCTCTCCATCAGCAGAGTAAGTCATTCTGGCCCAGGATCTTGAGATTTTCAAACACTAACTTATGACGAAGCCCCTCCGAGCTCGTCGACTCTAGAGTCACGCGTTAACGATGCAATCAACTCGACAAAACGCTGGAACCGCGAACACAAGACCACAAAAATGAGAGAGAATCAGTTCATCATTAGCTATCTCAAGAAACAAGGGCAACGGGACCCGGCACTCGCCAAGGTACTGCTTCAAGCCATTCGAGAGCGCGCATACAACACAAAGACAAGAACCAGCAGAGCAAAGAAACGACCAAGTCTCGAGGAAACTGCCCGCAATGCATCGTGGCAAGATGTTATAGACTCAGCAACAGAAGTTCTTGTGGTCAACAAAACACGAACCCTCCAACTTCTGAAGCAAGCTTAAGTTGGCAGATTAAATGGAACTTTGGCGTATTTTGACTGGAGCTTAGCGAATCGCTGTCAAGGAGGCGGAAAACATACAAGACGGTTTAAAAGAAGAATTAGGTGTCAATTGACTTGCGCTATCATCTATCCCCCATAGGAATGCTGCCAAGCTACCTAGGTTCAATATTACAAGACGGTTTATGATTTCCATTTTCCAACAATGCTTGATATATGGCCAGCGGGTAAAAGTGGACCTACCTTATTAGTCCATAAGATGCGCGGTGCGCGGCTCCTCCATTCCAATTTCATCACCGTACCTACCTCAACTTTATTAAGAGGACATTTCGCATCATTTTCAAACATCGACTTTATCAGTGCGGTTTTGTACTCTTGCCCACCTACGTGCGTGAGATTAACAAGGAACGAATGCCATACTTGGTTTATCCTCGCTTGAATTGGGCATCGTCTATATCTTCCTGCTCTCCATTTGCGGCATGTCGACACCGACACCAAAAGATGGCCAACCACCCGCAAAACCTCGTCTGAAGCTCAACGTTAGCCGGTCCTCCTCTTTCGTCGCCGATGCGAATGTGACACCTTCAGTCTCGGGCTCGGCTGGTCTAGTTGCACCAACTCCAACTCCGACGGAAGGTCGCAAAGTGAAGCTCAAGATCGGAAAATCGCAACCCTCAACGCCTGCAGAACAACCCCCAGTGAAGACGAAAGCTGGCCGACAACCTAAGCCCACACAAAAACTCGTCGAGAGCAAAAAGCGCGCACACGACGAACTAGATGACGAGCTAAGCTCGGCACATCCAACAACAAAAATAAAACTTAAGGCAACGAAGTCAGGGCTCACTCCAACGGTCGTGGTGAAGCCAAAGGGACGCGCACCAGTACATCCGCCAGGAGATGGCTATGACTCAGAGGCGAGCGATCGGGAGAAGGATCCATCGATAGAGGAACAATTCGTCCTGAGGATGCTACCAGGAGAGCACTGTGACTATGTGCGCTCGTGCATGGAGAACGGCAAGATGGGTATTCCTCGGAGCCAGGGAGGTGCAGACATACAACTCAAATTCTTTGAAGAGGATTCTCGAAGGGCGGTCGTGTCAGTCAGAGGTCAACCGTTTGCCGCTGTTATGGTGGACCTGCCTACAGTTACAGAAGCGATGAAGACATGGGATCGCAAATCATTCCTCAAATCTGCAGACATCTGCCAAATGCTTCTGGTTTACCAGAAAGTTTCCACCGAAGCTGAAGCAAGACAGACACCTCTACCAAGTATGATCGACCAACACTTCAAATGGCCACACGGTCTAACACCGCCCATGCATGATTGTGTGAACCGGCGATTCGCCAAGACCATTAGTCGAAAGGAGATTGAGGACAAAGAAGCAGAAGTCGAACGCCTGCTCGCCGAGGATGCTAAAGCCGGCTCTACGCGTTGGGAATGGGTCGACGAGAGCAAAGACGAGGACGAGGATGGCGGAGATGAGGATGCCGAAGGCGATATGGATGATCATGATGATGGTATGGACTACTTCCAGAGCCAAGATGTATTCGGAGATGACGACGATGACCTTGCGGCCGATCTAGAGGCCGCTTTCGGGGAAATAGGCGATGAAACACCTGCTACCGGCATGGATGCTACAACACCAATGACAACCACACAGGCCAATACCCCCGCGCCACTCCAAGATAGCATTGAGTCGGATGAGTCTGAGGAAGTTTCGGACGATGATGATGATGACGACGACGATGAGGATCTGGACGAGGATGCTCGAGCCCAGCGCGACGAGGAAAAGGGCGTCAAGTCTTTCATCAACGACCTGAAGAACCAGCTTACGAACAAGCAAGAAGAACTGGCCCGCACTACAAACAAGATCCTCCGGAGTCGTATTGAACAGACCATCAAGCAACTCAGGGCAGAGATTGAACTCAAGAACTCGTCTATCGGTATCGAGACAGATGACTGATGAGAGAGTAGAAACCAGCCCATGGTGTATATCAATTGCTGGAAAGGCGGCTAGGTTTCTGGTAGGTAGACGGCGTTCAAGGTGTAGCCCAAGATCTGGGCAAGCGATGATTTGATTCTGGATTTGGACCCTAAAAATACCACATTGACTACCTATTGCTCAACCAACTGCTATTAAACCTTTAATATCTCACAAGATGTCCCATTATGTGCTTGCTAACTGATGTGAAACATTATCTTATACACCAAGATAAAGATGGAGCCCAAACACGCTTGAACACCATCTTTGTGATGCATTTTTATTGAGTAAAAGAGGAAAAAATTGGTATCTCATCGCTATCCAGAATCAACACCAACCAACGCCAACCTATGCTTGTGACATCAAGTACGTCTCACAGTTATCCCCATGCCCCTTTGGACTTTTCACACAAGAGAGAGCATTCAATGAAAGAATGAAAATTTGTCTTTAGCTCACCAGTCGATCCCTGCCCAACCATAGGTTCCATCAACGTTATGCCAGCCCCCATTTTCCATGCTATCCTCCCATCCCATCATCACGGCCAATAGGCGGCACCCTGAAGCACTCACGGTGCAAACAATCTTATCGCTCGACTCCGAGAGAACGGCTAGATCCATCATATACGCTCGACCGACGAGACTGCGGAGTCGAAGCGTTTCTTCAGAAGGCGGTGCCATATGTCTGGCTTCTTCATTCACGCCATCGACATTCACTCCTGCTGGTGCTTCAGCCGCATTATTCTTGCTTTCAACACCAAGATTCCAGAAAAGGGGAGCAAAGAAACCGCCCTCCCAACCAAAAGTGTTCTCAACAAAGTTATTCAGCGAATGATGATTGCCACTTGCGCGGGCAATTGCACCTTTCGAAGCTAAACGAATTCGATCTTGGGAAAGGATGGTATGAGAAAACTCAGGCTCCTCATGAACTGTGGGGTCGTCCGAAGCCAGGAGAGTGATATATCGGCGTTGCGTGTCATCTTCCATTCCTGTAATGTTGTAGTACTCGTCCACATAACGGATGACTTGTTTAAGGTAGACATCAGCTGGTATATAGGTATCGCGATATTGAAATTCGAGTGGATGCTGGTCACCATGACGAACATGGAGCCCAATGATGGGTATATGCGTCATAAGACTGCCCTCAGTGTTGGCTTTTGCTTGAATTGCAGTCACACGCTCATCGACATAAGCCTGATCCTCATCACTCAAGATGAATAGATCCTCATATCCAATACGAGCCAGTTCAAAGAGATCTCGCAACCCATCCTCGGTTCCTGCAACTCGATGATTTTGGGCCAGCAACGCCGGGAATACCTCCTTAGCTGTCGCAGAGGAAACGACCAAGTGGCGAGCTTGAAAAGGACAAGGAACCATGTGGTGTCGAGGAGGAGGACGACAGTCAGGGACAGGAGGAGCTTCGAAAATCTCGGACCAGGGTCCGTAGGCCCAACGTTTATCGACAATGAAGAACTCACGGCCAAGTTGCTTTGCCAGACCGTAGAAGGTCCACAGCATCATGAGTGTGTTACCAAGGCCAGCATCTGAGGATTCCAAAACAAAAGTCATGGTGCTTTCGCACACCGGCTTATGCTTCAGGTACTTTTTATCCACACCAACAAATTTGCCCTTATTTTTGGCACGAATGCCCTTGTAGGGTGCCAGAAGGCCTGATCTCTCAGCATCATACACGTCGATATAGTATTCATCTTTAGCATCATAGTTGATGATGGCCTTTTCGGTGATCGGAGCCTTGTGATGGATATCTCTTGCCCGGGAAGAAACCTCTCGGCACTGGCTGCCCATATCTGCATATTGGTTCATAGTCAAGGGAAAGTCCCCGTTTGGTGGTATGAAGACGGTCCACTTCGAGCGACCCTTATTGTCGTTGATAAGAATGGGCGTGGGGAAATCTGGAAAGGCATCTTGGCCCACCATCTCAAACTCCTCTTGTCCAAAATAAGGCCAGACTGCCGCTGGGATGGCATCCGGATTTTGAAAAGCCAATGCCACAAGGTATGTGATTGAGAGCAAGATACCGAGAAGGAAAAGTCGTCGAAAGACTCGGCTCGGTCGAGCGACCAAGATCTGGCTCGAGGTCCTCTTTGGAGGTCGAGGTACTAGAGCTGGAAGTGCCGGAGAAGCAGGCGGTGAGAAGAATAGGTGGTTGAAATTGAAACGGGATGAAGTTGATGAAATAGGCCCACGATCTTGGGCGTTGTAAGAGCTAGCTCGGCGCAAGTTGAGCGCTGGCGGCACGACCAGCATCTTTGATTGAGTTGGGCCTGACATCATGGAATTGTATGAAAATGAAAATAACGCGGGAGAATCAAGTAATATGAAAATAGAGTTGCCAGTCGAGAGTCCAAAGCTGCTACTCTGGAATGGCGAATGTAATGATAAAGGATCCGGTGGACGACAAACCAGGTCGTACAAGCGGATTGGGCTGAAAGGAACCCCTAAGACAGTTTGGTTTGCTTTGCCTGTTTGTGTAACACAAGAGAAAGTTGCCCGTATTTCTTCAACGGTAATCGAAAGTGCTATCAAACGGGACACTTTGGATTCCTATATACAAACGGACGTCTCAGTGGATGGTTTTTCATCCAGCTTTGATAGACCTGGAGGGAAGCCAGCCGTTGAAGTTGCCCTCCCAGTTACACGCACAAGGCAGTGATATATGTCCGAAGATGGGTAGTATAATCGAAACCTGAATGGACGAGTGGCCAAATGTTCAGAATAAGACAAAAATAGAATGTAAGGCAAGGAAAGGAACGTGTAACGAATCGAATAAGAGCTCAAGTTGTGAGTGTAGACATCAAGCCTTAGACCTGCACTGCAAAGAATGAGAGAAGAAGAAAGATCCCCGTGGGGCACAAAGAAAGGGAAACAAGAGTTCTAGATTTTAGACGTTGAGAATATGAAATCCTTCGGATCATGGACTTGAAAAGAAGACGAAGACCGGATGGGGCTCGGCCCACGACAGGGAGTACCCTGGATGGGAAGCAACTCCGAAGCAACACCTGCTGCGGGATGCTTTGAGCACGGATAAAACATCAGATTAGGGAGGCACAGGTACTATACCTACTTAGGCAATGTACAAAAGCATGACGAGTTACAGAGTACAGTACCTGGGTATGTCATGGAAGTGGTATGTAAATATTCCAACAGACGAGAGCTTTACACTTCTCTTGAAGTCGCCATGTAAGCAAAAGGACAAAAGGTGTAGTTTGGTCAACGTTCCTTCAAATCTTATCACCTCCATACTCATCAAACTGTATAACATACCGTTCCTCTGACCGCCGTTGAAAAGAGGAAGCATCGCAAGCTAAGCTTAGTCCGACAGTCGTGTCGCAGCGAACGAGGGAACGTCAGGGTTGGACGATGATTTACCTCAGACTGATTACGCAGGCAGGGGCACAACATGCTGTGCACAAAAGTGCTTTCCGCCATGCCATCATAAAATCAACAGGAAACATATCGCGTTCCGGTTGCCGACGATCATCACATGGGGAGTTGTTACAACGCTTGGGAGACAGCCAACTATGTGACAGCGCTTCACGCAAGCATTGAGGGGATGAGATGGCGATGGGCTTACAGGCGGCCCATCAATCGCCAGAAAAAAGCTGTCAACGGGATGTGGTGGCTAACAGCCGAAACAGTTATTACTCTTCCTAACTACGTGACACTTTAGCTCAAAGCCCTTTCAGCCCTTTCATTCGCGGATTCTTCGGCCCTTGACAAACATTGTCACTAACTAGCTAATAAGCAGCTCTTACGAGGTCCGAGAGCCTCCCCACCCTAGTCCGCGCTTCTGCAAGGTACTGTACAGCAGCTCCTTGCCCGTCTTGACAGGGGTAGAGAAGACAAAGCAAATAGTGCCGGGGTCTCTCGAGTTTTCGCTAATTTCAGACCTGTTTCAGATTAAGCAGCTTTAAATGGTCAAAGCCAATGAGAAAGAGTTATTCTCGTACCCATTCAGCTTCCTGCCCATGATAACTTAAAGGGCCACACCAAGTTAACCCAACCAAAAACAAGAACTAATCGAATATCTTGGGCTCGATGTTTCACCCATACAACAAGAAACAAAAAGCTCCCCGATGTTTCGAAGACACATCATTCATGGGGCTGAGTAAACCGATCATGTCAAATCAGGAACGGAAGCTGAAAGAAACGAAATGCCGTGCAAGCTACCGGAAGCTTCTTTCTCCTAGTGTTTTATGGCTGTATGAGAAACAATCTCGGGCCCCAGCACGAGGATTGTGTGAAGTTGTCTGACTCGGTGGTCGTGCCACTATAAAGCCTTGGGCACTAAAGGATTTAATGCGATGTGCCTTATCAGGGTGCTTTGTTGTTCTAGTGACCTCAGGGCTCTACATAGTAGAAGCGTGGTCTCAATGCAACTTTGAAGTAAGTATCTTGGAGGGGCTCTGATCACACATACAACACACACAACCTTATACTGTGACAACTTACATGTCACACGTCTCTCTCATCGTTATTGAAGCCCGAATATCAGAATTCTTTCATTCTTATCTCTGTCTCATTTTTTTCATTCCCCATCATTAACTACCTGCAACAGCCAAGTGCTGCATCCTGATGTTGCTGTCAAATCTCCCGCTCTCAACTCATCATGGTATAAGTACATAACTAAGCTCTCTTTCCCGAAGAATAAAGTAAAACGAAGGTAACAATGCCCTGTCAAAACGGCGTTTGCCCGCTTCCTGGCACAAAGAAAATTGTTCGCAAAAACAAACGGGCTCTACGGTTCGCTGTTTCTCACCAAGTCCCTAAACAAACATAAAATGTGGCCGCTTGCATGAGCCAAGGGCGGGATGTCTTAATCCTTCCGTTGCCCTTTTCTCTCGCCCAGCGACAAAAGAAAGTGTAATCGGGTATAACGCAAATAAGCCCCCTTTTGCCGCAAGAAACAATGCCCAATTTCCCTAAACGCCTGTATGCTCAATAAGTCTCCGACCCGATTTACTC